GCAGAGAATCAGATAGGGGCAATGGTCAGAACAGAGAGGATTAAGGCTCTTTGGAGAGAGACTATCACCCCTCTTCCAAAGCCATTACCAGAGTCTTAGCTCAAGAGGCCCTCTGACCCCCTGCCTCTGAGTCTATGATCTGCCTTGTGTGGCGCTAGATGGCCCCAAAAGGATACTCACAATATTCACTGCTGTGGAGGGGAAAGGGTGAGGCCTTCTGTGCCAAGCACTGTAGGCTGCCGGGACCCAGGAAGCCTCCAAAGGACTGCTTGCTGTGCTGTACTGAGAGTGGCATGAGCAGTAGTCAACTGGAAAGAGTATGTCAAAAGAGAGAAGAATGAAACATCCAGTGGAAAGCCCATGCTAGAAATTCTGTGACGGGAGGCTGAAAAGGATGCCAAATTCAAAACCGATGCTGCTCCTGCTCCATGGCTGTGACACATTTAAAAAGTGTTGCAGCCCGCCACCAGGGTTTCACCAGAAAGGGCAACTAAGTCCAAACCTACCACAGCAGATGTCTACGTCAATCTGAGATGGATGTTGGAGACAAGTCCTATCCTGACTTAGCTCTCCTGGATGGGCATACCTTCAAAGGGGTCTTCAGGGTCAAGGCTACACCATCTGGTGGGCCACTCCATTGGACCCATGGGGCACCTGTAGTTAACATTGCAATGCACTACATGCCAAGGTGAGCACCCATGCAGGATCCAGTGCCGAAAGCAAAGTTACAGGTTGGCCTTGCATCCTCTTCCAGGCAGATTCCAGGTACAGTCCCCCAAGGCTCAAACCAGGAGACAACCAATCTGAAAATCTGCTGAAAGGCAGCTGCATTGGAGAGAAAATGTTCATCACTTAAGTACAATTGCAAAAAACTGGGGCTCTAAGGGAGGGGAAGGGGTTATAAGGGAGATATCCCTGCAGCTTTTGTGCTAGTACCCAAACCCATGGTTAAGACTAAAGATCCAGTGTTTTGTGCTGTATGATTAAGAAATATGTGCCACAGCATTTAACTATATGCATCTGTATTTACAGTTTTCCCTTGGTCACAAAGCAAAGATGTTTTGATTCTTCTAGTGAAGTTCATCTCATACAACTTCCTCTGATGGGGTGACATCACTGCTGTATGGTTTCTAAATTAAGAACAGTGTTGCCACCCTCATGTAGGTTTTGCATACTTGTGTGACAGTGGGACTGAGATGATGTTGTAGGGGATTTGGCTATAGGCATTGTTACTGCTCATTTATAAGTCTGTAAGTTGTATATTAGCAGCTGGACACACCCAGTCCTGTCCATTGCTTTCTGCACTGACAGAACTGCCTCTGCCACTGAAATTAAAATTACTCAGGGGGAGTAAAGGAAGTCTTGTTCACTTTATGATACTTGTGTATCAAACAGTAACTGAAATTTGACTGACACACAGAAGCCACTGGATATACTCTAATTCTAGCCTTTGACCACTGAAGTGCTTAAATTTCTTCAGTTAATTCAGCACATGGTTGAATGGAACAGCAGCAAAATATAAAGAGCAGCAACAGATTTCACAAATTGGGTTGTGCTGTGCTTTTACGGGTTTAAATATTCATAATTAAAAGGCAAGTGAGCAAACAAACAGGTTGCCATATTTTAATTAAAAACAAATACATTTGTTGGAACAATTAGAGAACACATAATTACAGTGACTAGCATAGATAAAATCAAGGGATGTTAAAGTCATGCAGTATAGGTAGTAGTACAGCCAACAGCCCTTCATGGAAGGAATACAAGTTATTTTAACTGCATCGTTCTTCATACATTTGAACATTTAGATTCCTCACAACTGTCACCCCAAGTACCATTTCAGCTAGTGCATAGAAAGTGACCCAGACTGGATTTAAATTACATTTCATATAAAATACATTTACATGTTTCATTACAGTTTTAAATTTCTTTCACCATTTTAAAATACATTTATATCCTTTAAATATATTTTATTTATCATATGTGCGAGCTCTGGCAAAAAATGCCAGATAAATTAACAGAATTTAGGGTGGTGTTTTTTTGTTTCACAGTTTAAAAAATAAAATCACGACTTGGAACTACAGCCTTAAAAACAATCATTTCAAGCAAGCTGTTTCGATCAATGAACATAATGAAAGAATTCAAATTAGCAAGCAGTTGTATGACTAAATTCCATTTTCTGTAACCAGTGACTGAAATGTACGACATGAAATAACAGCACACAAAATACAATTGGGAATTATATTGCTTTCATATGCTTTGCATTAGAAAGCTTGATTGTAGAACATTCTATACAATGTACTGTATTTGCACATAAAGGACGTTAAAGAAAAACCTAGCCAATAAGATTTAATTTTTGCTTTATGACATTTTCCTTTTTTTTGGCTATAGTTGGATTCAATCTAACCCAATCCATTATACATGAAGAAGCTGCACATTGCTGTGGCAATACAAGTTGGGATTCTGCCAACCACTACCTGCCCAAATCATTTCCATTAGAATAAAATAAGATTAGAATGAATCAAGGGACACCTTATCAATTATGCACGTTTCTGTCAACATTTATCACTGCCCTTTGGTCCCTAAGACTTTTTACAGCACATTAATGTCACAGCACAGCTATAAGCACTACAGACCTGTTTAAAATGAATCTGACCTGGTTTTAAAAAAATGCCGAAGGAAATTTGGGGTCTTTTGGGTCAGCAATCACCAAGTCTTCAAAGAGATAAAGTCCAACCTACTGCTACACAGTTGTGCACCCTAAAGATTCTGCTGACAAACTGTAAAAAAAAAAAAAAAAAAAAGTATTCTGCTGACAACAGAATAACAAGGGACAGTGTGAAGCCTGGGCCAAGCATCCAAAGAACTCCACAAGGATCAAACTGAAGACTAACACAGCTACTTCACTTTACCACTCTTCATCTTGGGCCCCTTCATAAGCATACCCTTTACAACAGATAACAAGCAGATCTTTCTGACTTCTCTTCTGACTTAAAAATAAAGATTCATGAAGCAGTGAAGGCATTCACAGCTTTTCATTTATTCCCCAGTTTACCTTTTATTTATAAAAGTTCTACCATTCCATACATCTGACAGAATTGGCTAGTTTGAGACTATGATTAGAGATCTAGGCAAATAACATGAATTCTCCTAGATCAAAGAAGTTACTGGATATTCATTGCAAACCTCTTACTTCTATTTCTGGCTTTAACTCAGTTTATAAATCCAAGGAATATTTTCAGCAAAGATGGCAGACTCAGAAAGAGTACCCACATTTCTTTAACAGACCTCACAGCAGTCCATCTGAAGCTACTTGGTAAAAAATGGAGGTAGCTTGCTTCTTGGTTAGTGGTCCCATTGAACAAAAGTTACGGTATTTTCACAGGAAAGCTGAAGATAAATATATCTGCTAACTGTAAAGTTAGTGACCTTAACAAATTATATACATATAAAATTTCTTATCCTTCATTAGCTATCCCTTGCTTGGAAGTGCAAGGCGCCGAATGCAGTTAGCAGCAGTGCCCCTTTGGAGCTTAGTGTTTATACCTGATTGATATTGGCTGCAACTCCTAAAATGCAGCAAAACCAACAACCTGAAATCATCTGTACAGGTTTATAGTTCAGCAATACCTTCATCACAAAGGTTTTTTCAGCCTATTACTTACCGCTCATGCTCACAGAATAACAATTAAAAAGGCAGTGCTAAAAGCAATGAGGATGTTGCAGCAACCAATAAAACTTTTAACTAATCTCAATAGTTTCTGTGCATTATCGGACTTTGTACACATTTTGCACTGCATAATTTAAAAACCAGAGTTCATATTTATTTGTGGGCCATGTACAAAGTAAATAAGGAGTAGTCTGCCAAAAATCACACCATATAGTGAAAGATTAGTGGAGCCTACATACAATACAACAAAAACATCTTATGGCAGTGATTCTTCTGCTGCCATACAGAATCCAACAATCATTTCATTTGAGTGCCAAGATCTTAGGGTTGTGAGATGTGTGGGACACTTTTGACTTCACCACTATTAAGGTGTTTAGGGGTTGAGGTAGTGTTAGTTTAATTCTAAAGAGAATGATAAGGATAAGGTTTAATAGGTGAAATGGAGTGGTGTTTAAGAGTGAAGTTTTATGTTTAGGTGTACAGTACTATGTTTAGTACAGGGGCTTGTGTGTTAATGGGATAGTGTTAGTTTGAGAGAAGAGAAAGCATTAGGTTAGATGTAAAAATCAGGTGTAGCATTGGGAATGTTAATTTCAAAGTAAGGCTAGGGGTTAAAGATTAAATGTTGGTGTTAAGTGGTAATTCTTACAGTTCAGTTAGATGTTAAAGTAAAGAAATGTTTTTTTTTTTTGGGGGGGGGGGGGGGTTTATGAATAAGACTAGATACAAATAGCTAAAGCTTTAAGAATCAGAGATTTCATGGTTTGTGTACTGCTAGAGATGCTTGAATGCTTTTTCCCTTACATTTTTGGCACCAGAATCCCTCATCTGTGGCCCAAATTAAACTCAGGTGCTTAATATCTATTTGTGTCAGTACCTGGACCTGTGAATGTATGGTCTGTTTTATGTCAGATATATATCATGCGATGTGTGACATTTAATTTTAATTTCTATTTTCTCACATTGAGTTGAAGTAGACTCCAAATTATACTATAATGTGAATTTGGGCAGAACAGTAAATAAAATGAGTAAGACCAAATGTGACTTCTTAATCCCCACCATGAAACAGTCCATTTATCAAAAATAGGGTTTATTTAACAAAAGGGGGGGGGGGGTTGGATATTGCACATAGTGATGTGAAAAATTAAGTACACTTAAAGTCCTTCAAATTTGACACTGGATATAAATGCCAAGCCATGCTCCATATTGTGTGCAGAGCTTGTGGTCTCATGATTTAGGATGAGGATTCAGTGTCCTATTGTGTAATCGCGGTCCATGTTCCTGGATGCAGTCTGTGGCTATAGCCGTTTCACCATGTTTTTAATTTTCAAACTCATGTCCATGTTTCCATGGGTACCATGGCCTCTTTAGTACCCACAGATGGCAAGAGGTTTTCTCCAGACAAGAACAAGAATGGCAGCTGGACCACAAACCCTCGAATCCTTTGGACCTCTTCCTGTGCTTTGGTACGGTCCTGTGTGGTCAGTGCTGGCTTTGAAAGGAACTCTGGCAAGTGAAAAAAGTTGAGCACTTCATCACTGGGAAGACATCTGAAGACCTGGTATAGTAAAATGGAAGTGATAAGTCCTATGCATACACACTATAAGCCGCAAAGATGAATACCAGTTCAACAATATTTACTTTAGCCATCAACTATAAGTACACAATGTGTACTGGTTACTAACAGCTAATAAGAATTAAACTTCATTCTTCAAATATCATTTGCTAACAGAATAAAATACAGTGCCTTGAAAAAGTAATTATACCCCTTGAAATTTTACACATTTTGTGATGTTACAACCAAAAACGTAAATGTATTTTATTGGGATTTTATGTGATAGACCGACACAAAGTGGCACATAATTGTGAAGTAGAAGGAAAATGATAAATGGGTTTAAAAAATTTTTTACAGATAAATATCTGAAAAGTGTGGTGTGCATTTGTATTCAGCCCCCCTGAGTCAATACTTTGTAGAACCACCTTTCGCTACAATTACAGCTGCAAAGTCTTTTTTGGGAATGTCTCTACCAGCTTTGTACGTCTAGAGAGTGACATTTTTGGCCATTCTTCTTTGCAAAATAGCTCAAGCTCTGTCAGATTGGAAGGAGAGCATTTGTGAACAGTGATTTTCAGGTCTTGCCACAGATTCTCAACTGGATTTAGGTCTGGAATTTGACTGGACCATGAATATGCTTTGATATAAACTGTTCCATTGTAGCTCTGGCTGTATGTTTAGGGTCGTTGTCCTGCTGGAAGGTGAACCTCCGCCCCAGTCTCAAGTCTTTTGCAGACTCTAACAGGTTTCTAAGATTGCCCTGTATTTGGCTCATCCATCTTCCCATCAACTCTGAACAGTTTCCCTGTCCTTGCTAAAGAAAAGCATCCCCACAACATGATGCTGCACCACCATGTTTCACGGTGGGGATGGCGTATTCAGGGTGATGTGCAGGGTTAGTTTTCTGCCACACATAGCGTTTTACTGTTAGGCCAAAAAGTAAAATTTTGGTCTCATCTGACCAGAGCACCTTCTTCCGCGTTTGCGGTGTTCCCCACATGGCTTCTCGCAAACTGCAAATGGGACTTCTTATGGCTGTCTTTCAACAATGGCTTTCTTCTTGCCACTGTTCCATAAAGGCCAGATTTGTGGAGTGCACGACTAATAGTTGTCCTGTGGACATATTCTCCCACCTTAGCTGTGGATCTCTGCAGCTCCTCCAGAGTTGCCATGAACCTCTTGGCAGCTTCTCTAATTAATGCTCTTCTTGTCCAGCCTGTCAGTTTGGGTGGACGGCCATGTCTTGGAGGTTTGCAGTTGTGCCATACTCTTTCCATTTTCCGATGATGGATTTAACAGTGCTCCGTGAGATGTTCAAAGCTTGGCATATTTTGTTTTTATAACTTAACCCTGCATTAAACTTCTCCACAACTTTATCTCTGACATGTCTGGTGTGTTCCTTGGCCTTCATGATGCTGTTTGTTCACTAATGTGCTCTAACAAACCTCTAAGGGCTTCACAGGACAGCTGTTATTAAAATGAGATTACATTACACACAGGTGGTATTTACTATTTACTAACAGGTGACTTCTGAAGGCAGTTGGTTCCTCTAGATTTTAGATAGGGGTATCAGAGTAAAGGGGGCTGAACACAAATGCATGCCACATTTTTCAGATATTTGTAAAAACTTTTGAAAACCATTTATTATTTTCCTTCCACTTCACAATTATATGCCAGTTTGTGTTGGTCTATCACATAAAATCCCAATAAAATACATTTACATTTTTAGTTGTAACATGACAAAATGTGGAACATTTCAAGGGGTATGAATACTTTTTCAAGGTACTGGATTATTAGTGCCTATACAGCAATAGTGACCATTCTAATTAAAGTGGTTGTAAACCCTTATACAGTGGGGCAAAAAAGTATTTAGTCAGCCACCAATTGTGCAAGTTCTCCCACTTAAAAAGATGAGAGTGGCCTGTAATTGGCATCATAGGTAGGCCTCAACTGTGAGAGACAAAATGAGAAAAAAAATCCAGACAATCACATTGGCTGATTTGGAAAGAATTTATTTGCAAATTATGGTGGAAAAAAAGTATTTGGCCAATATCAAAAGTTCATCTCAATACTTTGTTATATATCCTTTGTTGGCAATGACAGAGGTCAAACGTTTCCTGTAAGTGTTCACAAGGTTGGCACACACTGTTGCTGGTATGTTGGCCCATTCCTCCATGCAGATCTCCTCTAGAGCAGTGATGTTTTGGGGCCGCTGGGCATTCTCCCTCCATGGGGTTGAGATCTCCCACTCTTGAAATGCTTCTTATGAAGCACTCCTTCGTTGCCCGGGCATATGTTTGGGATCATTGGTTGGAAGACTGTTTCATCTTCAATGCCCCTACTGATGGAAGGGAGGTTTGCACTCAAAATCTCACGATACATGGACCCATTCATTCTGTCCTCTACATGGATCAATCGTCCTGGTCCCTTTGCGGAGAAACAGCCCCAAAGCATGATATTGCCACCCCCATGCTTCACAGTAGGTATGGTGTTCTTTGGATGCAACTCAGCATTCTCTCTCCTCCAAACATGACAAGTTGTGTTTCTACCAAACAGTTCTATTTTGGTTTTATCTGACCATATGACATTCTCCCAATCCTCTTCTGGATCATCCAAATGCTCTCTAGCAAACTTCAGACGGGCCTGGACATGTACTGGCTTAAGCAGGGGGACACGTTTGGCACTGCAGGATCTGAGTCCCTGTCGGCGTAGTGTGTTACTGATGGTAGCCTTTGTTACGTTGGTCCCAGCTCTCTGCAGGTCATTCACTAGGTCCCCCCATGTGGTCCTGGGATTTTTGCTCACCGTTCTTGTGATCATTTTGACCCCACGGGGCGAGATCTTGCGTGGAGCCCCAGATCGAGGGAGATTATCAGTGGTCTTGTATGTCTTCCATTTTCTAATTATTGCTCCCACAGTTGATTTGTTCGCACCAAGCTGCTTGCCTATTGAAGATTCAGTCTTCCCAGCCTGGTGCAGGTCTACAATTTTGTTTCTGGTGTCCTTCGACAGCTCTTTGGTCTTCACCATAGTGGAGTATGGAGTGTGACTGTTTGAGGTTGTGGACAGGTGTCTTTTATACTGATAACAAGTTCAAACAGGTGCCATTGATACAGGTAATGAGTGGAGGACAGAGGAGCCTCTTAAAGAAGAAGGTACAGGTCTGTGAGAGCCAGAAATCTTGTTGTTTGTAGGTGACCAAATACTTATTTTCCACCATAATTTGCAAATAAATTCTTTCCAAATCAGCCAATGTGATGATTGTCTGGATTTTTTTTTCTCATTTTGTCTCTCATAGATTAGGTCTACCTATGATGCCAATTACAGGCCTCTCTCATCTTTTTAAGTGGGAGAACTTGCACAATTGGTGGCTGACTAAATACTTTTTTGCCCCACTGTATATACCCAGTGAAGTGACCAGCCTCAAGTGAACACAGAGATGAAACAAATTTTCCTAAATAAGTGGTACCTGTTTATCTGAAGTTGTCTCTCCTCCACAGCTGTTCAAAGTGCAGGTTGTATACAGCTCGTCTAAGCTTTCAGAAAGCAGGGGGCGGGAAGGTAAAGTTGCGCACTGCATAGCTCAGTGAAAGCTCAATGAAGAGAAGAGACAACCCCCCCCCCCTTCACACAGCACATAGGAACAGAGCTTAGGCTGTCAACCACAGGCTGTGTGCTGGAGATACCCGCCCTGTCACCTTTTTACCTCTTAGTATCTGGAAAATTTGTCAGAAGTGGCTCATGGAGATGAGAGGAATGAGGCAGCAGACAGAAATGGTACAGTGCTCTAGATAGCGACAAGTACACACTACAGAGGGATATGCTTTGTACATACTTCATGACATAGGTTTACAACCACTTTAAGCCTACATAAAACAATTAAGGCCTACTGTGACTGAAGCTGCTCATAGAGGGGAGGATCTTTACTTTTAATACAAGGATATAAAGAATATTTGTACATGTATTTACTCATATAAATGTTTTGTGACCCCATCACAGTAGTTGCAAGCCTTTTTACACTACTCTGTTAGTAATGATCAGATTTGTCACATCTATAATCAGAATATGCCTGTTGAGTCACACAGTGAAATCACTATACTGTATAAGTTTGTATGACCATGCTGTATATATGTGCAAATGTGGTCTAGTAACACATTTTTAAACATGCTGCTCAAGTTTTCAGTATGCAAAAAGCACGCAGAAAACCCTGTAACCAGTATAATTGGTTATTGGTCTCTAAGATTCAAAATGGATGCCAGTATAATGATCAATTCAATCTGGACCACTCCCCACTTTGGTGTGATCGGACACACACTTGTGCTTCCTTTCCCATGTCCCAATTTTTTCTTTTGTGTGCTTGTCCTTTTCCATCTGTCTCTCTTTCCCCTGTTCTAGTATTTACTGTCTGAGCCATGAGCAAATTTGTTCACCCCTTCCCTTCCTTACAGGGGCACTTTATGATCCCATCATTGAGGAATTCCCACAGAATTTGTATCTGTAGTCTCCCACTTTTACGCATAACTGCATATCCTTTGAAGATGTGTTTTAACTTGTCTCCATGTTTTATTCTGGTACTGATGTTGGGTAATTTTTACAGCACCCTGTGCTTGGTATATTTTTATACCCTTGTACTGTGCATCAATTTATTTTAAAATAATCCAATAAAACATGTGAAACAAAAAGGGATGCCAGGTTTTACCTTTATCTATATTACCCAGAGCTGCCTACAGTGACATGCAGTGGTGAACCACACACTGTTTAGCCCAAGGACTATTGGAGCAATGCCAAAACAGTAAGTGTTTTGTTACATAGAAGTTGTAAAAATGCATGGGGATTTTTTAAGACGCCAGGCTGGATATAATAAATACATCCTGAAGTTTTTCCGTTACACTCACCTCGAAAATATCTTAAAACCAATAAATGTTATGTTTCCCAAAGTGCATCTAAAATCTAAACTTTTAGTTTGGCACAAAGTAGGGAAGGCCTAAAAGCTTTGTTTTTATTGCGATTGGTTTCTCGCCTGATGAGATTTATCTGAGATGTCTCCTGAATAAAAGGTGATGAAAGATCAGCCATTGGAACAGGAAGTGAAGTGAAATCTTTTAAAAGGGACACTTATTCCTGCAACATTGGTCTAAGACATGATTTCCTCTAACTTTGAAAAGATTTCCTCTCACTTCCTATTTTATGTCTGGTACAAGAAGAGAGGGGTAATCCCATCCAAAACCAAAACAATAGATGTGGATATACTTTAGACAGTTGAACAATTAAGAAAATAACACAATCAGAAAAATGTTTACCTTATCAAAAATGGTTGTGTTGCGTGCACTTGTAGCCACCCAAACCTCTTTGAAGAATCTGTCACTAACTGGGTCCTGGATGCTAAGAGAGGGATCATTGAGGCAACCAAGAAGAAGCCTAGAATAGAAAATTAGCAAAGTAGTAAGTACACAAGCCTTGCCTGTGGTTATTTCTAACACCATGCTCCATATTATAAATGGCTTATATCCAAAATGCACACCCCAGTATATTTTCCAATAGATTCAAGTCAGTATAATGTAGGCAGCATACACGATGTGTGTGTCAGCGTGTTTTTTTTTTTTTTTTTTTTTAAGAAAAAGATCATTTTAATAAATATGGTTTCAAATGACAGTTTTTTTCAGAAAGTCTTATGCCAAGTGTTGTTTGCCAACACAATGATAGTGTCCTAACCTTGACAGGCTTATAGAAAGTTCTGTTAGACTTTGCCTACCTGAAACAATGCATGCGAAGTGACAGAGCAAATTTTCCAGCTTGATAATCTTCGCCATCCATGATTGAAGGAACCATTTCTGTGTCTTGTATAATAACTGCCATCTCACTGTCGCGCTTTCCCATCATACTGCGGTCATTGATATTAGCAGAACCTGAAAGGATGTATGAAAATAATGATGAATGGTCTTATTAGAAGAACATTAACGACACAGAAAAATTATTCTGTGGAATATGAACACACACATATATATATATTATATATATATATATATATATACACACACATACACACACACACACACACACACACACACACACATACATACACACACAGTATCTCACAGAAGTGAGATAGAGCACTAACATTTTTGTAAATATTTTATTATATCTTTTCATGTGACAGCACTGGAGAAATGACACTTTGCTACAATGTAAAGTAGTGAGTGTACATCTTGTATAACAGTGTAAATTTGCTGTCCCCTCAAAATAACAATACACAGCTATTAATGTCTAAACTGCTGGCAACAAAAGTGTGAAAATGTCCAAATTGGGCCAAAAGTGTCAATATTTTGTGTGGCCACCATTATTTTCCAGCACTGCCTTAACCCTCTTAGGCATGAAGTTCTCCAGAGCTTCACAGGTTGCCACTGGAGTCCTCTTCCACTTCTCCGTGACAACATCACGGAGCTGGTGGATATTAGAGACCTTGTGCTTCTCCACCTTCCGTTTATGGATGCCCCACAGATGCTCAATAGGGTTTAGGAGACATGCTTGGCCAGTCCATCACCTTTACCCTCAGCTTCTTTAGCAAAACAGTGGTTGTCTTGGAGGTGTGTTTGGGGTTATGTTGGAATACTGCCCTGTGGCAGTCTCTGAATGTCATGCTCTGCTTCAGTGTGTTACAGTACATGTTGGCATTCATGGTTCCCTCAGTGAACTGTAGCTCCCCAGTGCTGGCAGCACTCATGCAGCCCCAGACCATGACACTCTCTCCACCAAGCTTGACTGTAGGGAAGACACTGTTGTCTTTGTACTCTTCACCTGGTTGCCGCCACACACACTTGACACCATCTGAACCAACTAAGTTTATCTTGGTCTCATCAGACCACAGGACATGGTTCCAGTAATCCATGTCCTTAGTCTGCTTGTCTTCAGCAAACTGTTTTCGGGCTTTCTTGTGCATCATCTTTAGAAGAGGCTTCCTTCTGGGATGACATCCATGCAGACCAATTTGATGCAGTGTATGGTGTATGGTCTGAACACTGACAGGCTGACCCCCCACCCCTTCAACCTCTGCAGCAATGCTGGCAGCACTCATTCGTCTATTTCCCAAAGACAACCTCTGGATAGGACACTGAGCATGTGCACTCAACTTCTTTGGTCAACCTTGGCGAGGCCTGTTCTGATTGGAATCTGTCCTGTTAAACTGCTGTATGGTCTTGGCCACCATGCTGCACCTCAGTTTCAGGGTCTTGGAAATCTTCTTATAGCCTAGGCCATCCTTATGTAGAGCAACAATTCTTTTTTTCAGATCCTCAGAGAGTTCTTTGCCATGAGGTGCCATGTTGAACTTCCAGTGACCAATATGAGAGAATGAAAGCGATAAATTTAACACAGCTGCTCCCCATTCACACCTGAGACCTTGTAACACTAACGAGTCACATGACACAGGGGAGGCAAAATGGCTAATTGGGCTCAATTTGGACATTTGCACTTAGGGGTGTACTCACTTTTGTTGCCAGTGGTTTAGACATTAATGGCTGTGTGTTGAGTTATTTTGAGGGGACAGCAAATTTACACTGTTATACAAGCTGTACACTCACTACTTTACATTGTAGCAAAGTGTCATTTCTCCAGTGTTGTCACATGAAAAGATAGAATAAACTATTTACAAAAATGTGAGGGGTGTACTCACTTCTTTGAGATACTTTATAAACACACAATGCTCAGCATAAACGAGTACACCCCAACAGATTTGTCACAAAACCTTTACTTTCCTTTCAGAATCAACATTTTCTATGGGGCACTATACTACAAAATACTCCCACAAATGCAGGCCATTGATTGCCAACAAATTTGTTAATTTGCACACTCAAAAAAGTATTTTCCTAACAAATTTATTCAAGACCATTTTGCAAAAATTAACACACCCCAATGAAAGTCTTAGGAGCAAAGCTAAATATTAGACAATAAAATCCTAATTAACAAAAATTCAACTACAGGTGAGTCTAATTATTCATTAAACAGGTGTTCAGCGGACAGTTGATTATAAAAGGGCATCACTTAAAGAAAACCCATTCCCATTGCATGCTGTCAGCAATGGCAACACATGGAACAGAAATGTCACAAGGCCTGAGAAAGGAAATAATTTCTTTACACAAGAAAGTTGAAGGCTACAAGAAGATCAGCAAAGCTTTACTTATTATTCAGAATATTGTAGAAAACGTGATACTAAAATGTAACAAAGATGGAACTGTATCCATCTCACAAAAATGTCCAGGCCGTCCACGGAAGTTAACACCTCAACAGGAGCATCTTCTGATGAGGATTGAAGAAAATCACCAGGCAAGTTCACTGCAGTTAGCTAAAGAAGTAGAATGCCAAACTGGGGTGATTGTTTCCCATGACACAATACGGCGTACACTGCAGAGGAATAGCATGCATGGGTGTCACCCACGAAGGAAGCCTCTCCTAAAACCCATGCACAAAAAAAGCCCTCCTAGAATTGGTCAGGGCCCATGCTGAAAAAGAAGCCTACTGGGACTCTGTACTCTGGAGTGATGAGACCAAGATAAATGTTTTTGGAACTGATGGCTTCAAAACCATATGGTGTCGCAAAGGTGAGGAGCACAAATTAAAATGCATGGTGCCTACAGTGAAACATGGCGGTGACAATGCCCTTCTGTGGGACTTCATGAGTGCTGCTGGTATTGGGGAGCTGCATTTCATTGATAGTATCATGAATTTACAGATGCACTGCTCTATATTGAAAGAGAAGATGCTACCATCACTCTGTGCCCTTGGTGGTCGTGCACTTTTTCGACATGACAATGATCCAAAACACACATCTAAGGCCACTGTTGCATTTCTGAAGAACAAGGTAAAAGTGATTCAGTGGCCAAGTATGCCTCCAGATCTTAACCCAATCGAACACCTATGGGGAATTCTGAAGAGACAAGTTGAACATCCCTCTCCAACCAGCATCCAGGCTCTAAATGAGGTAATTCTTGAAGAATGGAAAAAGTTTGATGTTGTAATATGTCGCCAACTTGTTCATTCCATGCCTAGAAGACTTGGTGCTGTCCTTCCAAATCATGGAGGTCACACAAAATACTAGATGGAGTCCTTTTTGGTGTGGGGTGTATTAATTTTTGCATCAACTAATTTGAGTAAAACTGAAGATTTTGTAATCTAAGTTATATTAATAACCTTTCTTTCATGTAATTAGCTAAACAAATGTTCTATAAAACTCAGTTTTGTCAACATTTTGGAAATTGTGTTTACACGCACATGAACTTTAATGGCATCCCAGTCTTAATCTGTAGGGTTCAATACTGAGCTGGCCCACCTTTTGCGGCTATACCAGCTTCAAGTCTTCTGGGAAGGCTGTCCACAAGGTTTAGGAGTGTGTCTATGGGAATGTTTGACCATTCTTCCAGAAGTGCATTTGTGAGGTCAGGCACTGATGTTGGACGAGAAGGCCAGTCTCCGTTCTAATTCAAAAATCACATAGCTGTTCTATTGGGTTGAGCTGAGGACTCTGTGCAGGCCAGTCCAGTTCCTCCACCCCAAACCCGCTCATTGATGTCTTTATGGACCTTGCTTTGTGGTGTGCAGTCATGTTAGAACAGGAAGGGGAAAACCCCAAACTGTTCCCACAATGTTGGGAGCATGAAATTATCCAAAATGTTTTGGTATGCTGACACCTTAAGAGTTCCCTTCACTGAAACTAAGGGGCCAAGCCCAACCACTAAAAAACTACCCCGCACCATAAGTCCCCCTCCAACAAACTTTACACCTGACAAAATGCAGTAAGGAAAGTACCGTTCTCCTGGCAACTGCCAAACCCAGACACATCCATCCAGTGTGATTTGTCACCATTTGACTCCAGAGAACATATCTCCACTGCTCTAGAGTGCAGTGGATGCATGCTTTACACCACTGCATCTGGCGTTTTGCATTGCACTTGGTGATGTAAAGCTTGGATGCAGCTGCTCGGCCTTGGAAACCCATTTCATGAAGCTCTCTTCGCACTGTTGCTGTGCTAATCTAAAGGCCACACGAACTCTGGAACTCTTTAACTATTGACTCTGCAGACAGCCGGCAACTTCTGTGTGCTTCAGCATGCACTGACCTCGCTCTGTCATTTTTATGTGGCGTCGAGTTGCTGTTGTTCCCAGTTGCTTCTACTTTATTATAATACCACCAACAGTTGACTGTGGATAATTTAGTAGCAAGGAAAATTCACAAATGGACTTATTGCACAGGTAGCAACCTATCACGGTACCACGCTTCAATTCACTGAGCTACTGAGAGTGACCCATTATTTCACAAATGTTTGTAGAAGCAGTCTGCATGCCTAGGTGCTTGATTTTATACAAGTGGTCATGGAGGTGATGGAAACACCTGAATCCAATGATTTGGAGGGGTGTTCAAATACTTTTGGCAATATAGTGTATATATTTGAAACCTACAAAAACATTTGTGTGCAATAACAACCAATAATTTCTTCTGAAAACTTAAATGAATCTGAAATAAAAATATAATTTGTCTATCAATATAATTTTGGATACAGACATATATCTATATCCAATACGGTATTAGAACATAATATCCTAAGGTGCACACCTGACTCTGATCTCGTAAGTACACATCTGGGGGGAATAAATTTATTGCTAAAAATATAGAAATATGGATAAAATTGATTGTATTAAAAGCCATTGATAATCTCTATGGATACAGCTTAAAAAGTTACAAAAGTCATTTAAAATGATAGCATCTTTCCATTAAGCCTAGCCATTCCATGTTCTCTATATCTATCTACATCCTAATACCCACTGATTTCTCCACTTATTAAAAATTGTAAAACCACTGTATGCTGGTCTTAACATATGATAGGTATTCCTCCCAGAGGGTTATGTGGCCAAAGCTC